TCAGCTTGACATCTCAAAACATGTGTCTTGAATCGTAAGGCACTCACAATATTTTTGCACTTCACAATCAAATTTTTAATTTCCGGCTCTGAATTGTAACCATCAACATTTAGCAAATTATGTAGTCCATGTCCAAGGCAGAAGTGGTTTTTTATACACCCCAAATTAATAGCTTTTTTGATATTGCTGCCTTGGTCGGTTACGACATAATTAGATCCCATTTGCAAATTATACATTTGAGTAACTTCTTCCACCTCTGTTAAAATGTTACTTGCCGTGTGCGATTTTGACAAATATTTTGTTTCCAGCGTTAAATGCTTCATCTCAAAATTCGCTGACAGAAAATGGAAGGTGAACGTTATATAACTTCTTCTTCTATAGTTATCTGTCCACAAGTCGAAAGTTAAGGCAAAATGTTTTTGTCCAGATACTATCCGTGTAACTGCTCGTAAAATGCATTCATACACATCGTCTAGTGCAGTTGTTGACAGCGTTTTGTAGTGTGGAATGTCAGCATCAGTTGCCACAACTCTATATTTTTTTAAAAAGTCTTTAAGTCCACTGTGACAAATTATATGAAATGGTAGCAAATCTCTAGCCATCCACAAAGCTAGCTCTCGTCCCAGCGCCCACTTACTATCTTTTGGAGATATAATTGGCGTCGATTTTTTGAAAAAAATTGATATTGATCCACGTGTAGCCAATGAAGTACTCGGACTGTCGATATCTCGAATGTTGTGTTCATTTTTGAGGTGTCGACTTAAATTCCCTGTGGAACAGTTCGTGGAATACGACTGAATTTTAGCACTGAAACAATTTACAAAATCTTACTTGAATCTTAAAAAAAGGAACTTAATTATTACCATGAAAAGATTGTTCTTTCGTCGTCTTTTTTCTGAACATCCAAACATAATCGGCAGAACACCTTGTCCACTTCAATGCAGTTGTTCTCTAATTGCAATGCGCCGAAAAACTCCCACACTTTGCTCTTTCGATTTGAGTAATGGTTGTGTTTAATTGAGTACATACTCAATGGCTGATCCATCTATTTGTTTAGAGAATATTTAATTAATACATATGTTCCTAACACTAGTAATAGTATTTTAAAACTTACTTTGCATATTTACGCACAAAAAACACAGCTTTAGAAAGTAAACCACACCAAATAGCTGTTCTAGAGATGGGACATAGGGAGATGGGAGATGAGACAATCCTAACGATTAATCGATTATTTATATCGAGTATTTGGCCATTTGTATGATTTATTTATTTTTGTTTTTAAGTTATATTAAGAATAATATCACCGAAGGCCGCGCCGGTGCTACGCCGGTGCCGCACCAGCGGCGCGCCGCGGCGCGCCGTTTTTTTCATAATTCGGCGGCGGCGCGTCAAATAAGGCAAAAATCGGCGGCGGCGGCGGCGTGGCGCGGCGGCGTATATGTCTACTTTTGTTGTTGTGTGCAAATGAAATGGCAACCACTTTGGGTAAGCATTTTGGTTTCCACTTCCATGTGCGTCCGCTCCTCCCTCTTTCCAGCTCTCCATTCTGGAATCCTATTCTTCTTTGGCTTTTCTCGACCCGCTCAATGTCGGCCCCCCCGTTTCCCGCCTTACAGTTTCGGTTTGTAGTCCAGGTGCAGACGTCTAGACGGCTTTTGGAGTGCTTAGAGCCGACGTGAACGTCTCATAATTAGCGAAAGCATGGAAATAAGTGGGGAAATTTCCACAGAAATACTCTGGGCTGGATGCAAAAAGCAGGGAAATTAATTTAGTTGGCTTTTTGGCAGTGAAAACTTCTTGAAATGATTTTTAATGGTTTTATTTTAAACTATGTAATATTTTTTGGAGCCACAAAATCATTACTTAAGATTAAGTAAACTAAAAATCACATAATTTTACGAAGATTATATTCTATATTTTACGAAATAATTTAACCACAAGCCTTATTTCAATACTGAAAAGTTTGACTGTACATTTTATTCCCCTGTCGATTTGTCTGCGTTTTTGTTTTTGTCTCATCATCGCCATCCCATTGTCTAGACTCTAGACATTCTTTGAATAAGCCAAGCCACAAAAGAAAATCAGCAAACTAATAATTATCAAAGGAAATTTTGGTTTTTCTACTTTAAAAGATTATTTCCCCAGAGATGTTAGCTCAAGTCGCCTCGGGGTATTGATTTGACATAACTTTGGTGGAAGCAAGAATGCCTGGAGATCTGGTACCATTTTGTGTGTCATCTTTTGCGACAAATTTGGAATTTACCTTAACATTTCAAAGGTAAATGTCAGCCAAGGGTTTGTGCACCTGCAACTGACATGGGCTCTCTATGCTCCCATATATCATACGTATATATATATGTTTGTGTATATTCGCCTGGAGCGCGGTCAAATGGGCGGATTGAGTGGGTGGAAGGACATTAAATTTACAATATGCTCATTGCAATTTCAGTTCCTTCAGCTCCTTGGACTCTCCTTGGGCTCCTTTAGCTCGCATTTGATTTGATAATAACGTTTTCGGAAATGTCATTTTCTCCCTTCCAGAAATTGATTTGACTGCCGCTGTCGTCTCATCTTAACGCTTTTCGCTCCGTTTTGCCACACGTGGGGGGTTGGTCGTAAAAGCCAAACGCATATTTATGAAGAGCATAAAAATTATTGACATATATGGCGGAGTCATAAATGCTCATACACATAAGCACTCTCCTACTCCCTCTCTCTCTCTCCCTATCAAATGAAAATCCCAAAGGAAAATTGCCAAGTGAATCAAAAAAAAAAAAAAAAGAGGAATATAAAATTTGGCGTTTGTTTTCTTTTTTTTTCGTTACTCAAAGGCAGCTCGTAAATGCAATTTGATTTTGATTGGACTTGGATTAAAAGCAAATAAAGTTCACATCTTAAATGTCAAATTTTGAAAGGATTTTTACAGTTGCCTTCTGGGTAAACTTTAGCGGCATATTGTGGGATTTCCATGGGGTACTTGTATGAGGAAAAACGGATAAGGCTGATGGGCGGAGAGATATTTTAAAGCGATTTAAGAGGGGTTATCTGTGGTAAAAAATTTATAAGAAAAGAAAGTATTTTATGGCCAATTTAATGTAGTTTTCTAAAGAATTTTGTATTTTATAGATATTTAAAAACTGTAAAGAAAACATTAGGGAAGCTAAAAAAATATATATAAAATTTTATTAGCTTTTAAAAAACTTCTTTATAAGCTATATTTATTGTTTTCCATAGATTCTTATTTAATATCCTTTTTTTAGTTATTTTAACTACCAAAAATCTCAACAATAAAAGTACATTTTAATAAAATCCTTAAATAACATTTCACCATTCCCATTCCGAATCCTACCATTAATTTAAAAGGACCCATTTTCACTCACTTGCACAAAGTGCCAGAAGCCAATTGGATAACCTCGATTCGCTAGAGTTCACGTCCTTTAGTGCCATCAATTTTATGTTAATATTTGCCATATTTTTATTGGCTTAATCCAGTCATGAAATCGTGGCAATATGTTTTTACTGGCTGCCGATGACAATTGGCCCCCATAAACAATCTCGCAAATCGTTGTGTGCCCGGAGAGATTTAACCAATTCCGAGCCCAGACTCCATGAACATTTATAGTTCTGTGTGGCTCAAAGGCCAAAATACTACGGAATCGACTACCGAGCAGCTCGCAACTCAAATGTGTTGGTCAATTAAGTTGCGTAAATGTAAATGCAAATTGTTTATGATTTTCTTAAAGAGTTCTCTTGCAAAGTTTCCCCCCTTTAAGATGCAAGCATAAAACTTTAGGAAAAAGTTGTTGTAAAAAAAGGAAAACCAAAATACAGAGAGTGGGGGAAAAGTCGAAGAAAAAGCAGGAAAGTTCGACAGGCATTCACAATAAAAATATGTACAAAAGCATTTCAAGCGTACACAAGTCGACTTCCTGTTTGGCAAGGACATTCTATCCGAATTGTGCATGCAAACAGGCATGCGAGTACATATATATAGAAGGATGTGAGTGCGCACTTCTATTGTAGTTGGCCAATAGGTTGCTCGTTCGTTGTTCCTTTCCCCCCCAAAAAAAAAGGGAACAAAAAATATATTCACCCGAAATCGGAAATCAAAAATAGCTACATTTCTGCCTGTTTTCCAGCCATCCTGCGGGGTCTTGGGTTTCCTTTTCGGTATTTACATATTCCATTGTTGAGCAGAAGCATAAATCGGATGCCTCTTTGGGTGCTGGGCTGCTGTGTTGTGTTTGGTTTGGTTTGGGGGTCCTGCCCTTTTGTTTGCTCCTTCGCTGACCTCTGTCATACTTTCGGCCATTGTCCGGGGGGATAATGCCGGCTCGGTCATCCATAATATTTCTTGAACGACATTTGACACTTTTGGCTGCCGCAGCTTCCTCATCCTCATCCTCATTCGCGTCTTATAACTCCCATCATCTCAATTAATTGCTGATGATATTGAGGCAGAGCGTTGAGTGACAGGCGGACAAATACAAATTAGTTTAATTAAAGAACTGTGTGCTCAGCATTTAGCAATAACCACACACACACACACATCATCATCCCGATGGGCAAACAATTTGCAGACAAAGCGACGTCACAGAAATTAACATAATACAATACTTATAATTAATGGCTTTTGTTTGGCGGCGGGCGGTACGAGTTTTCCCTAAACTCTCCTTATTTTCTGCTTCGGTCTGCGGAAAACTTCAATGTAAATAAACAAAACCATTCTTGAGTTTTCTCTTCTCTTTTTTTTTGTGCACGAAAATGTCATTTGATTGAAATGGGATATCTATCTGTATCTCTGGCCCCCCATCCTGTTTGGTCTGTGGCCAGTGTCCCGTTCAAGTATTTGCCGGGAATGGAAAACTTTGTTGACACTATCTAGACGCCATGTCCGCCATGTCTCTGCATCCGCCGTATCACTTAGGGAAAATTTCTTGTGCAAATATTGAATTTACTTAACGAAAATGTTTCCCTTTTTCTCTCTCTACTTTTTCCAGATCATGTGCGGGAGTTTAACTGCGGCAAGCTGTACTACCGGACGTTCCATATGAACGAGGATCGGGATACGCTCTATGTGGGCGCCATGTAAGTTTAATAGTTATATCGTTGGAACAATTAATTATATATATATTTTCCTCCTCTTTCAGGGATCGCGTATTCCGTTTGAGCCTGCAAAATATCTCCTCTTCCAATTGTAATGTAAGTACCAGGGCTAACTTTGCTTTCAGCGACTTCGCGTCTGATTATCCTAAATGCCTCGAATATGATAATCCTAGAGCACGCTTTTAGGCTAAGTCCTTTGCCGCCAAAGGTCGCCAAAGGGGATGTGGCAGGTTGTCCAGGGTCGAGTCACAAATCTAACTGACAGAGGCAGCAGCGGCGGTGGCAAAAAAAAAAAAGGAAATGGGAAACAAAATCATGAAAAGCTTTTGGGCAAAACAACTTTGCTTGCGGCTGTTGCTGCTGCGGCACTGTGGCATATTGTTAAAAATTCATTATACTCCCCATTGGCAGGGTGTGTGTGTGCGAGGAGTGTTTTCCATAGTTTCCAAATGGCCGCTAAGCTTCTTGCAGCTTTTTGTGGCCATAAAGCGCCATCTAAACGTTGTCAGCACAATACACCGGCTTAGCAGCCTTTTAGGCGCACTTCAAATGGCAACACGACAACGACGACAGCCACAAATCTTCGATTCCCACGGCGCAGCAGCCGAAAAAAAAGAATGTTTATTTTAGTTAACCCAACGGCACCAACAACAAAAAAAGGGCAACAAAAAACATATTTAATATGCACTCTCTTGTCCGGGGCATTATGTTCCGGGCGTATTCCCACTCGTAGTCGTCGTCGTCCTCGGGCTCAGGTTTATGCGCTGCCCAGATATCGGATTGGGCTCCACATACGCGAACTTGCCACAACATTTGCGAGGCAATTCGATTACAGGAAGTGCTACCCCGTGTCTCGGGCACCTTGGGCCTGGGCTTGGGCTGTTTATGAATTTATGACTTGCAAAAGTTTGTTTTATGAGCGGGAGACAGGCACACACACACACACACACACCTGATTTGAAGCTGCCTCCCACTCGCAGCGCCCTTCATCCATTCCATTTCCATTTCCACCTTCCATTGCCAAGCCCTACCTACCTATACTACACACAACGCATCTCCAGGCTGAATCGTAAAAGTCTAAGAGGTTATATTTCCTTGTAGCGCATGTTCGCCAGCCAGGATACGTCAATATATTTTATGCGGTTAAGTGCGAATACATTCGCCCGTGGGCATCATTTGGTGCTGGCCTATACACAGGCAGGACTACACTGTCGGAAAATGGGAGAAGAAAACTGGGAATTTGTTATTAAATTTAACTAATGACTGTAGTTAGGAAGGTCACTTATCTTAGAATGTTAAAAGAGAGGTTTATTTTACCTATTTTTTAATTACTTATTACAAAAAGTTGCTCTTAAAATTCCCAACTGGTTACTGTTTCAAGTTATTCTTGACGTTTTTTGTTTACTTATCTTTAATTTTGTGTTTATTAATTACAAATGCTTATTAAATGTTGTTTTGGTTTCATTTAGTAGGAATTTCTATTTAATTACAGATAGCTTTTCCAAAATTCTCTTACAATTCCCAACTGGTTTTAATGCAAAATACTACAATTTGGCAAAAATCTATACATCTTATTATTTTAGAAACATTTTAGTTCTTGCAACTCTGACATTTAATTTAAAATTATATAACATTTAGTTTATTTACTAAAAATAAGTAAGCAATATTTTCTCCCAGTGTCTGCCTCTCCTTTCGGCTCCCAGCTCCTGCACCTGTTCCTCCTCTGGCTGCTCTCCTACTCCTCATCATGCTGCTACCACTGCTTTATGCGCCAAATGCAAATTCAACTAAATAATACATGATTTTGGTTTTATATGAACGCTGTGCTGCGACTGCCGGCCTCCCCAGTGGGTGGTTGCAGGGTGGTAAACAGGTTGGTTGCCTGGTTGGGTGGATGCCGCGATGGCGGTGGCGGCAATGTAGAGGTTGGTGCGTGAAAATATTTCGTGTGTGTGCCTCTGCCTGGGTAACATTACGTGATTTATAAATAAATTTAGTTGAAAGCATTCTGAAGGTGCCACGGACGACTGCTAGTTGTAGTTTATGCCACATGCGGCATCCACCCAGCCCAGACTCACACACTCCGCCTTCGCATTTGCAATATACAATTTTTGTACGAGCGTATTTTGTGCTTTTTTGAGTAAATTGAATTTTTGAATTGATAGAGCCAGCAGCACGTGAGCTTTTAAGCTAATGGTTAATGCCGGCAATCGCTGTGCCAACTGAACTAGATTTAATTTCCCTCTCACCTTGCTAATCTATTTGATAAATACCTTTCGTTGCAGCGGGATGTGATCAACTTGGAGCCAACGCGCGACGATGTGGTTAGCTGTGTTTCCAAGGGAAAGAGTCAGGTGAGTAAATATAAATGGCTAAACAAATATTCCGAATTTTCAAAAGTTTCCATTATCTAAATTAATTTATCAAGGATTCAGAATCCACAAACAGGCCAAGATCAGGTGTCTTTTAAATTGAATTAAAAACCACCATAATCTGAGGATTATGCAAACAAAATAAATGTATATATTTCATAATGGAAATACCATCTTCAGAATCCATTTTCTGTTTTCATTTTAGTCTGCCTTCCAATTTCATGTGAATTTATTATTTTTCCTTTAGAGGAAAAACCCACATTTTATACAATTGTTTCACCTTGTCTTGGTGGAAATTCGTGTGGGTTTTTTTGTTTGTGCCTCCCACATATTCTATATATATTTATTGTGTATAGTTGCAAATAAATCACATCCCTGCGGAGGTATTTCAGTAACTCGATTGCAGTTTTAAAGCCAAGGAAATCCCATCGACTGGCAATGTGGCAGACGCTTCTGTTGCAACTCGTTTATAATGTGACAGCAAATCCTTTCATTCGAAATCAATTTCGAGTTATTCGTGGCAGGAGCCGAAGCAGCAGAAGCACCCAAAGGCAGCATGTTGCACACGCGAGCAGCATGGAGGCCACATGGGTATCCTGCTTAAGTCATCATAAAGCTGCTCGGCTGTGTGTGTGCGCTCCAATGTGGGGTGGTAGTAATTTTTGCAGCGTTTCGTTGCATTGTTGCCAATTGATTTAGCTTCGGCAGCGACGCGTGCTATTGCAATTTGTCCACATTTCTGCCACAAATTCGCTGCAGCATTACGGAGTGTGTGTGTAGTGCTGGCAACAATTTCGATATCGCTGCGATTGGGTGACAAAACAGATGATGCTGTGCCCTCAATAAATTGAAAAAAACTCTCAGCAGTAGTAGCTTTAGTTGGCCACAACATTGTAGTGGCTTCTTCTCCAGTTTCATCTCTCATCCTTTATGTTTATGTATGTACATATCTCTATAATCGATATGTATTTCCGCAGATTTTCGATTGCAAGAACCATGTGCGTGTCATCCAGTCAATGGAGCAGGGCGATAGGCTCTATGTGTGCGGCACCAACGCCCACAATCCCAAGGATTATGTTATCTATGTAAGTCGGCCCAGATTGGGAAGCCATTCATGAAAAGATTGCCGCCACCGACAGTTGACTTTAGATGGCAATCAACAGTTGCTCACTCGGCCTTTGACATCTATTCATACAAGCATAGATGGATAAAGCCCCTTAAACTAAAGTCAAACACTCGGAGGCGAATCTTTTCTGCCTATTTACCCCTTTATATTCGACTTAGGCGAACCTGACTCACCTGCCGCGCTCGGAATATGTGATTGGCGTTGGCCTGGGCATTGCCAAGTGTCCCTACGATCCCCTGGACAACTCGACGGCAATTTATGTGGAGAACGGCAATCCTGGCGGCCTGCCTGGCCTGGTAAGCAAAAGGGCTCTCATAAACTTAAAGTTTCTTGGACCCTAACTTACTTTATTTGTCTTTGTTTCAGTACTCGGGCACCAATGCGGAGTTCACCAAGGCGGATACGGTTATTTTCCGCACAGATCTCTATAATACTTCGGCTAAACGCTTGGAATATAAATTCAAGAGGACCCTGAAGTACGACTCCAAGTGGCTGGACAGTAAGTATGCAAAATGAGATAGATTAGAGGGTATTCAAATGACTTATAACTGGCTTTAAAGAGCCTTATTTCTCTCGTTTATTTCTTGATTCATTGCTTTATAACTTGGTTTTCACAGCTAACTTTAATATTTATTGATAATCCTTTCACTTGTTTTTCCTTCTTCATTTCAGAACCCAACTTTGTGGGCTCCTTCGACATTGGGGAGTACGTGTACTTCTTCTTCCGTGAAACCGCCGTGGAGTATATTAATTGCGGCAAGGCCGTCTACTCACGCATCGCCCGTGTTTGCAAGAAGGATGTGGGTGGAAAGAACCTGCTGGCCCACAATTGGGCCACCTACCTGAAGGCCCGGCTCAACTGCAGCATCTCCGGCGAGTTTCCGTTCTACTTCAACGAGATCCAGTCGGTCTACCAGCTGCCCAACGACAAGAGCCGCTTCTTTGCCACATTCACGACGAGCACTAATGGCCTGATTGGATCTGCCGTATGCAGTTTTCACATTAACGAGGTTCAGGCTGCCTTCAATGGTAAGCTTACTATCGCTATCGCTTTTCCGTGAGATGCACATCGCCCCGTTGACGTGCAATTTCTTCGCTTGTCCATTGTCCCCCAAGTGGATTGGTTTCGCCGCCCGGATTGCAAATGGAAATGGCCATGGCACATGCAACTTATTGGCAAATTTTATTTGCAATCCACACATTTGTTTTATCCGTTCGAGAGGAGCGCCAGCGAGCACTCGTCGCTCGTCCTCTGTGCTGTGCTGCTGCTGTTGGTTGCTTTGTAATTTCAGTTGAGGTTCAGTTTTGGTTCAGTTTCGCTTCAGTTTCAGCTCAGTTTCGATTCGTTGCCGTGCGCAACATAAATCGCATTAGAAAATCCATTTGAATGGATTATAGACGGCACACACAGATGGGGGACTTTGCCGCCGCTTGACAGCTTAGAGTAGGAGCAGCTGACACCTTTTGCTCGTAGATTTAAATCTTCAATTGCAGATACAATTTTGTTCAGTTCAATTGCCGCTCCCATCTCGCATGAGAGTCATTGTTTCCCTTTGCTCTTATTTTGTATTCCAGGTAAATTCAAGGAGCAATCCTCATCGAATTCCGCTTGGCTGCCGGTGCTGAACAATAAGGTCCCGGAACCGCGGCCGGGTACATGTGTCAACGATACTGCCAATCTGCCCGATACTGTGCTGAATTTCATCAGATCCCATCCACTTATGGACAAAGCCGTAAATCACGAGCACAACAATCCAGTCTATTATAAGAGGGATTTGGTCTTCACCAAGCTCGTCGTTGACAAGTGAGTTTGCAATGCATATACATTTATATTTTTTGATGATTTTCAGGTGAGCTTTTAGACTGAAAAGCGCTATTTCAGCTAGGTAATCTTTTTGTGGAGTTTTGTTTGTTGATAAAATGAAATAGAAAAAAATTCAGAGATTTGCAGAGATTTTGGAGTTTATGTTATTCATTTCCGTGGTAAAAGTGGGTTTTTGAAAGGATATAAAATTCTTAAAATTCCAATTTTAGTTTAAACTTTAAGGTAAATAAATTAATTATCAAAAGAAATACTTAATAAGAAGCTACGTAAAAATAAACATTTAATACAAAGAAAGAAGGCTCTAATTAAAGATGAAAAGCTAATATATACATTCAAAAATGTCGCTTATGTTTATTTATATCCTTAAATATACTCCATTCCACCTTTCAGAATTCGCATTGACATCCTCAATCAGGAATACATTGTTTACTATGTGGGCACCAATCTGGGTCGCGTTTACAAAATTGTTCAGTATTATCGCAACGGCGAGTCGCTGTCCAAGCTGCTGGATATCTTTGAGGTGGCACCCAATGAGGCCATCCAGGTAATGGAAATCAGCCAGACACGTAAGAGCCTCTACATTGGCACCGATCATCGCATCAAGCAAATCGATTTGGCCATGTGCAATCGCCGTTACGACAACTGCTTCCGTTGCGTCCGTGATCCGTACTGCGGCTGGGACAAGGAGGCCAACACGTGCCGGCCCTACGAGCTGGATTTGCTGCAGGTGAGTGGAGGAATCAAGGATTTGTAAACTAATAAACAAAGTGAAAGAATAACAGCCACAACTGACCTATTTTCCTTGAATATTAAATATTAAATTAACAAAAGACAAACATTTAAAAGTAGAAGCGTCAATAAGTCAATTATAAAAAGTCACAGAAGTTTATATTTTATTTATTTCCAAAAACGTTGTAATTTTTTGATTCATTTCAAAGAAGCCAGTTAACTAAAAGGAAAATCCTTGTTCTGAATCTGTATCTGACCCAAATTTAAATTTAATATTTAACTATGCAGGACGTGGCCAACGAAACAAGTGACATTTGCGACTCTAGTGTCCTGAAAAAGAAAATTGTGGTGACCTACGGCCAGAGTGTTCATTTGGGTTGCTTTGTTAAAATCCCCGAAGTGCTGAAAAATGAGCAGGTGACCTGGTATCATCACTCCAAGGACAAGGGACGGTGAGTGGAATTGGATTGCCTGATTGAATGACACGACACAGTTACTGCAATCGTTATCCTCTTTCTTTGTGTTGTTGCTCTCCCTGACAGCTATGAGATTCGTTATTCGCCCACCAAATACATTGAGACCACGGAACGTGGCCTGGTTGTGGTTTCGGTGAATGAAGCCGATGGCGGTCGCTACGATTGCCATTTGGGTGGTTCGCTATTGTGCAGCTACAACATCACAGTGGATGCCCATAGGTAAGTAGACATAAAACCAATCAAAGATGGAATAAACCAAAAAATAATCAGAGCTTTATGCAAGCCATTACCCGTTAATGTAAACATGCATTAGAGTAACCCCCCTCCAAATATAGAAATTCCATTATTCTAATCACATGAAAACAATGTTTATATTCAAACAGATGCACTCCGCCGAACAAGAGTAATGACTATCAGAAAATCTACTCGGACTGGTGCCACGAGTTCGAGAAATATAAAACAGCCATGAAGTCCTGGGAAAAGAAGCAAGCGGTAAGTGATAATGAGGGACACCAACCACCCGCTGGTTATGGAAGTTTAGGGGGAGGGAGAACATAGGGGTTGGTGGTGGTGCCAGTGGGTCGAAGGCAGACACACACCATAATAAACGATTTGGCTGGCAATTATTTTAATAGCCTTCTGTCCGAACTGACACCGCAACGTCAAATCAAAGGGAAAATAATAATAAAAACGACGGTGTAAGGCAGTTAAGTTGTCATTATCCGACGGTTGTGTGTGTTTGTGACCCAAATGCATGGTAATTGTACGCTGAGGTGGGGACGGTAGACGGAATGCAATGGAAATGTAATTAAAATGCAATCACATTTCACCTACATGTACATACATATTTACTGATTGTGTTCTCATCTTTTTATTCATTTTCTTTGCAGCAATGCTCAACACGGCAGAACTTTAGCAGCAATCAACATCCGAATGAGATTTTCCGCAAGCCCAATGTCTGATATCGTGAAGAGAGTCTTGCCCTCAATATGCCGTCATCGTCGTCCAATCAGTTTTAGTAAATGCAAAGCGTAGAAGATGAATGAATGCCAATCTGCGCACAATACAAAGCCGAGAAAATCCCGGAGAAAATCACTACAAGCATTATTATTATTATTATTATTATAATTCATCATGGACATCATCATAGAACAGAAAACACTTGAAACACTCTTCCTAAAGGATTATGCATTTACTGGAGGCATTTACAATGCATTCATTGACTTAGACTTAGACTTTATAGGGTATTATTATCGCATGACACAGCTCTCCTTGAACACACACACATCTATATATAAATATACTAAAGATACGCCACGAACCCATAGTTAGCTACGACAATTGATCAATTGAGATACGACGAGTTGTAAAACTGCCGCATAATCGCACATTCATATCGTTATTTGAATCTAGACTTTGATCAGTTTCAGCATAATATATACCATATACATATAACCGAACTTTGAACTTTCAAGGCAAATGTAATCGAAGAAGCAATGTGATGTTAAGTTTTGATAAATTTATTAACAGCCCAACTACATGCATACATACATACATAATCGCAATGAACACAATATACATAAATGTACTATATCGACACATAAATCGAGTTGAATCAGCCCTAAATCGAATACAATTCTAATTAAACGGGAAGCTATCCTTAGATAAACCTCAATCACACAAGCAATACTCGCCTAACGTGCATCGACATACTTCACTCGAATCGGTCCATAGCTTATATATATAAATACTCCATTCAAATATCAACAATTGAACATTAATTCTAAATACCTATTGTATCCTCCATCTTGCCCACGCCGAACAAGTGACAAAACAAGTATTTCGATTTTGATTTTAAGTGTCTTGCAGCACTCTCTTCAGACTTAATGTACTTAAGGTAATTTGCATAAACAAAAAGAAAATCTTTAGTTGTTAAGCGTTTAGTTATTAATAAAGTGAGACAAGAAACATTTTAATAAAAAAACAAAATCTATTTAAAATTATTTACAAATTGTTGTGCTTATTGAAGAATATTTTTGGTTTTGGGTTTGGGTTTCTGTAAATATATTTAGCATATATGTGAGCTCTAGAGTCTTGCTAAAACCTTCCCAAAATAATCTTTCTATTAACAGGTAAGGAGTTAAATCCAGGACGACTTCATGTCATTGTTTATTTAAACTTTAACCAATGTTTCCTTATGGTTTTTGGTAAGGCCCCAGAAATCCCATATGCACAAGCTCTAGGCTGGCAATTATGCAAACATTTAACAATAATATACGGCGAGAAATGGGGCTGTCCAAATAGTAATCTGCAAATATGTATGTAATAATTTCATTTTCATTGCAACTGGGCTTATCTCTGAGCACATTGCATAATTCCGACTGAGTGCGCAAAGACAAATGTTAATTTTAAATCAAATACTTTGAACTATTCAACTTGGGCAAATATTTTATAACGATGAAAACGAGGAAACCCTAGTCGGTGTGTGTGTCTGCTTTCCAGGTTGTGGAGACGAAAGTTTGTCATCCTTTTCGGTCAGGTCAAGCGCAAAGGCGAGAAAATGACCAAAATTTCCAATTTGGTTTGGGTTTTCGGGCTTCTGGTTGTGACCCTCCGGTTCACCTTGCTCAAAGCCAAAAGGCAAACATTTGTGCTGTGTGCTTGTGTGCTTTTTGATAGAAAAGATTTGCATATATTCCTGGGCTGGGGTGACATTAAATTGAATTCCATATTCAAATAGTCGAGAGGACACGCGAGATAAGCGTGGGCATACTTTCCAATTATAGATTGTGCCGTCGCCAAACCCGCAGACAAATAGAATTAAAGTGCAACATTTTTGCATAATAGCCTCCTTGTGCTTATGGCGCCTGCTGCGGCCAGTTCGCACTGTTCCCACCTTAATTAGTTATGCAACACCAAAAATTAAGCTTAATTAGCGTTGGACCCACTGGTTTGGAAAATTAATTATTTCCACTCTCTCCCCGCCATTATTATTATTATTATTATTATTATCGCTGTGCACTTGGCCAAAGCAACGCCGGACCCTCCTCGTCCGGCTTCCGGTGCCCGCTTGTTGACTACTTAATTGAAATTCATATGATTTTTTGTTCCTTGCATTTCCCTCTTTTGTCATTATCATTTACATAGCGGCGGCATAATCCTGGCCACGGAGTTGTTAGCTGAGGGACTCCTGTCTCTGCCTCCATGATTTTTATTTTTATTTTTTATTTTGTTACAGTGGGGAATAGCTTTGTTTGCGGCTTATAAATGGGGAAAATAAATATAAATATAATAATATATATAGATCGGTGAGTGTCTTTCTGACAAACGATTTATTTTTTTCATTTATTTATCTAAATGCAACATAATACGAATATGCTTAGGCGGATAATTCTTATTTCATTTGAGATATCCCAAGCTTTATCATAAAAGGAACGGTTAGTTTATCCTACACTTTATATATTTTTTCAAAGTATTAACATATATTTAGATGATGGCATTAAAGAATTCCCCATAACATTAACTTAGTCTTTAATACATATTTTAATAACTTGGTTTCTTCAAATGCAGGGTTGTGACCTTTCGGAATAAATGTTCCCAAGAAAACCCTTAGAATAAATCAATATTGGGATCAATTTTATAGGTCTTCTTTCTCAGAATTACAGAGAAAGTTTTCGCAGAAATTTTGCTTAGCTCTTTATCACAGCGCAGCGCATATTCCCTTATCAGTAAAAGAAGAGTATAAAAGGCGGGTGTTACTTGGCCAACAGCATAGTGTCTCAGACTCTTCTTTCAAGCAAAGATGTCACCTAAAGTAGCTTTTGCCCTCTTCGTCTTCGGCTGCGCCCTCCTGGCACTGGCTAATGCCGAAAGGCTAACACGCCTACAAAGGCGACCTGTGGTAAGTATCCAGTTGAAATCATTTGAAATTTTATACACAAAGACAGCAAGGAGCCGAAGCAGTCGATTCACATAAATAATTTATTAATGAAATTGCATTCAAATTCTGAAATAGCGCCCTAGAACGGCACCTGTGCCGTCTGTCCCATGTTGTCCCTGTCCTGATGAAGATGTTGATTATGATGCAGGAGCACAAAGGAGATATATGGTATGCATCCACTAAAATAAATATAAATTGTATATATAAATTCAATTAACATTCTAATAACATATATGATGAATTTATCAAATTGTTTTCAGCGCCCGTATATCAGGACTGTGGTAGTACCTGAGGATTGTAAATGTCCATGTGATAGTTTAGGACCTGGTGTGGAGGCAACCCCGAATCCAATAGCCATTTACGAGAAAGATACGCCCCGGAGGGGATAAGAAAATTGTTTCTTAACAAACAGCTGCTTAGCTTTTAATTCAACGGTTGTATATTGATTGATTAGCCAGAGCAGAATAAAAACCATCGAAACAATATTTTTGATCTCACTGATATTTATTTCATGCGGGACTACGGGAAGAGTGTCTTACACTAGGGACATTCTTTTGTGCACTTACCAAAAACTCAAATGTGTAGTACTTGGGACCCATCTTTTGGACTCGTGGGTTAGTCGGCAGCAGACTGAAACGGCTCTGGTGAGGCATTCTAATCCTGGAATCCCATTTGGAACAGGCACAGGCACCTTCCCCGAAGATCGTCCTCTTCTGCGGCCTGGACAAGTTTAGCGGAATGAAGCGAAACTATAACTATAATCGTCGACAGCTAAGTTAATTACAACAATTTCGAAGGAGTAATAACTTAGTAACCATAGTAGCATTCTTAATTTCCAATTGATTGCTGATCAATCAATCTGCTCTCAGATATCTAACAGGTATTTATAATCTGAAAGTAGACTCCACACACCTCAATTAAACCGGGTTGAGCTCCAATTGATTTAGTGTTCAAGTAAGCATATTTAGTGCTTACAGACTTTGTAAAATATCCCAACTGCCAATGAATTTGCAAATCATTTCTGAAAACAAGGCACGACACATTTGCGAATACAAGCTGAGGCAGAGGCATAAATAAACAAACAGAGGAAATTGCAAATCCCCAAATTAGCATTAGCTAATCAAGGTAACGAATAGCAGCGGCAGGCGCAGGGGCAGGGGCAAGTGGGTGGAAAATCTTAAAGCAAATAATGCGCCCAGCTGGGCACTTGTTTGTGTGCGTTAAGTGCAATGTTAAGGGCCCGACCCAGGGCCCTCGGGATGTTGGTATAATATATAATCGAGAAGTATGCCATTTGGATGGCAAAATTAAATTTGACTCGCCCAACATGGCCCGCAAACAATCGCACAAACACACGAGAGCAGCGCATGGCCAACATTTGCCAACTGCAGCTGCAAGTACATGGCTGGCAGTCAAATTTTCGGCTCTCGTTCAGGTTCACCTGGCCCAAAGCCACAGCTAAGGACCAAGTCAGTACTCCTGGCCTGCGCCTGGCAGGGACCAATTAAATATTGAGAGAGAGACATTTGCCATTTCGTGCTCCGTTTGTAATTAGCCGTAACATTCTGCCGGATGCATGCATGCATATGTACATATATACACACACATAGTATGTGGACAATCAAGTCAGCCTCATAATGCCATTTACCGAAAATTCCATTGATTGGCACCTCCTTCCTCACAGAACCTTCGACTTCAAAGCAATTTCCCCACAACCCTGGTAGGTGGGTAAATATTTTATAGTCAACATAATCACATCGCACATCAAAGTCCCGTAAACCGAAATCTAAAATCCAAAATCAATCGACTTGGTAAATCAGGCCATATTTATTCCGAGAGCCGCATTCGATTGGAAATCAAATTTTGATTCGGCAGGTGGCTTTCCCACCCGCTTTCTCTCTCCTGATGGAAAATTACTCAAGCTCAAGATGGATGCATGAATCTTAGTTTTCCCAGTGGCACCACGGCTGATTGAATCATTTCCAGGGGATGGAGATTACATTCACAGGTGGCTCGGGCCACTTATACGAATAAATACTTAATAATCAAACTGCATTTGTGGCTGTAAAGTCTATGCCTTTATTTTAGGATTTTGTATATGCAATGATTATAAATGATCCCTAACTTATAAACTGCAAAGTAAATTAAGCCAAAAACAAACAGAAAAATCTCTTTGGAAGACTTTACTTCCACAACACTAAATTAGCTAAGTTAAATTAAGTTTAAGTTAAGTTTAAAAATATCATAAAATATAGGTTTTCCGTGGAACAAACAGAATCTTGAAGTGTTTTATATATAAAACAAATTTTAACAAATTTCAAAGCCTACTTGTTAAATGACTCCCTAAACATAATTTTAGCTAAGAAAAAGTTTCATCTAAGCAATCCATGAAACTGGACTTTCGAGCTGTCAATATCCAGGCATGTTAGCCCGTAGATTTTATTTTATTCTGGATTGTCGTACGAGTCAGACGGTTTTCATTAAAAAGCAAAACAAAATTTACAAGTGAAAAAAATACGGGTTTTCTCAAAATTTTTCGTGTTGCAAACAAGTTTTCGCCTTTCTTTTTCATAACTATATTTTGCTAGACTTAACGTTTGTGGTGAAGATGCCGTCGGTTAAGGACATTGTTAAGATGCGGTCCTGTGCCCACCTGGTAGGCCGCAGCAACGCCAGGGCATTCGCCACCGAATGCAAGAATCCCAAGGGTGCCGTCGTCGGTGTCTACATGGGAGAAGGCGACAAGCCGGCCAAACCCACCAAGAACGCCTCGGCTCTGGACGATGCAGTGGGCGGTAAGCTGGTCACATTGATGCGGGAACGCGGCCTGAATGGCGCCCTTGGCAAGGGTCTGCTGTTCAGCGGCTTTGAGGGCGAATACCAGGCGGTGGCCGTCATTGGCGCGGGCAAACATGGCGCGGCCTACAATGAGAACGAGGAGCTCGACGAGGGTATGGAGAATGTGCGCATTGCGGCCGGCACTGGTGCCCGGGCCCTGCAGCTCCAGGGCATGCATGAGGTGCATGTGGATGCCTTCGACTATCCAGAGCAGGCTGCCGAGGGCGCTGCTCTCGCCGTGTGGAGGTTCAATGCCAACAAGAGGAAGAAGCACAGGCTGCACACACCCAAGCTGGACATGTATGGCAAAGGCGACCGCGATGCCTGGATCCGGGGACTGTTCAAGGCCGAGTCCCAAAACTTGGCCCGTCGTCTCTCCGACACACCGGCCAACATGATGACACCCTCGATATTTGCCCAGGCCGCCGTGGATGCTCTCTGCCCCTGTGGAGTGTCCGTAGAGGTGCGCTCCATGGACTGGATCGAGGACATGAGCCTTAATTCCTTCCTCATGATCGCCAAGGGCTCCTGTGAGCCGCCACTCATGCTGGAGTGCAGCTACTGCGGCACCTCGCCCGAGGATCGTCCAGTCCTGCTGCTGGGACAGGGCCTAACCTTCCATAGTGGCGGCCTGTGCCTGAAGCCCAAGAAGGGCATGGACAAGTTCCGAGGAGCCATGGCCGGAGCCGCTGTCTGTGTGGGAGTTCTCCGTGCCGCCGCCGCGCTATCGTTGCCCATGAATATAACCGCCGTCATTCCTCTGTGCGAACACATGCCCTCTGGTATGGCCGTCAAGTGCGGCGATGTGGTGTCCCTGCTCAACGGCACCACCATGGGTATCAAGAACGTGGGCAAGGCGCCAGTGGTGCTCCTGGCCGATCCCCTGCTGTACGCACAGGCCACATTCAAGCCGAAGCTGGTTATCGATATCGGAACGGTGGCCAAGGGCGTCGATTATGCCGTCGGCGGCGCTGCCAGCGGTCTGTGGACCACCTCCAAGTCGGTGTGGCAGAGCTTCCGCAAGGCTGGCGGCATCACCGGCGATCGCGTCTGGAGATTCCCGCTCTTCAACTACTACAAGCAAATCGTGAACAACAACCTCACCTACGACCTGTGCAACTCCGGCCGGGGTCCAGCCTCCTCCTGTCTGGCGGCGGCCATCCTGCATTCGCTGGTCCCCTGCGCGGACTGGGCCCATCTTGACATCCGCGGCACAGGAATGACCACCTCGGTCAACCCGCTGCCATACTTGCTGAAGGACCATATGACCGGCCGCCCAACACGTACCGTCTTCCAGTTCCTTTTCCAGATGGGATGCCAGGACTAGTATGCGTCACCACAACCGTAGTTTCAGTCTGGTGCAGATTTTCCATCTGTGGGTCCGCTGTCTTGGCCCATGTACAATCTTTTTTGAGTCTTTTGGTCTGTGCACTTAAGGATGTAATTGGTGTAAAACACTCTTACCGTAATCCCACGTGGAATAAATATCAATGAGATCGAAAGTAATCAGTATCAGTTTTTTATTTCTGCTTTGGCTGAACAATTATGGGTACTATTAACCCTAAACCTTGCTTCATCCTCGCCGACGATGGTCTTTTTCGTGAATAGATATCGCATTCACTTCACCTGCATCTCCGGAAGTTCCTTGAGAACTCTCACCAGCTGGACTTGCATCAACAGCTGGACTTCCATTACCAGCTGGACTTCCATTATTGCATGTACAGGAACATTGAGCGCCTTCTGCTCCAGCAGCCACTGGCACATTAATATTCCTAAGTCGATTATAATTATGGCCCTGTATAGAAATAAAAATTGATAAAGATGACATTGTCTGGGGACTGTAAATTGCTAAAGAGATCTTCTTGCCTCTATAAATTCTTTGTATCAAATACAAAAGAATCATAGTCTATAGACCTACATAGATACTTACCATATATTGCCCTTGATATGGATATTGTCGTACAATATACTGTGGCGGCGGACGGTATGCCCTTTGGGCTGTAACCAGACCCAAGAGGACACAACCGAACAGGAAAAGGGCAAACGCTACTTTCGGTGACATCTTTGCTTGAAGAGAGAGTCTGTGAAACTATGCTGTAAGTCAAGTACAGTATCTGTAATTCAGAAAAACGTGACTCATAAAATCCTTGCTATGTGTAATTTAATTTATAAATTTATAAAAATATGGATTTAAGACTAACCAGAGATTTTGAAGAATTTATTAATGACTTCATAATTTTTTGGAAAATGCAGCGATTAAATACAAACAAAATTTTTTTAAAAGTACTTAGAATCGGTCCATTCTTGTCACTTAAGTTGTTCATTTTAGATTTATTATCAGCAGTTAACTGCAGTTTAATGTATGGAAAAAGAATATAAAAAGAGCGACACAACTGGTAAGCAGCATAGTGTCTAGTACCCTTACTTCCAACTAAGATGTCGCCTAAAATCGCTTTTGTACTTCTCATCCTCGGTTGCGCTCTCCTTGGACTAGTTAGTGCCAAGAAGTACCCTCATAGAAATTATGGGGTAAGCAGCGTTCTACAAATAGAGGACTCCATTTAACAAAGATCCTGACAAAGGCTTCTTAAGCGCAATGGAGTGTTCTTGCCAAGGAGACCTTTCAATTTTAAATTGGAAAACAAGTTATTTTGTGAACCTCATAATTGATATATGTCTTAATCGATTTCCATTGAATTTCAGAAATTTGCACGAGTAGCTGAAGTCCCATCTGGCGGCCAATGTGTATGTCCTTGTGATGGTGGAGTAAATGGATCTTCAGGCACTGATGGAATTCCTAGTGGTCCAATCGATTCAGTATCCCCAAATCCAATATCCGTTTATGAAAAGGCTTAAATATTGAGGAAATATTTTTTAAAACGTAACAATTGTAACATAATTTATCAACCGAAGCATATTAAAAATAACTGAAACAATAATACTCTCGATTTCTGTAATATTTATTCCACATGGGACTACGGGAAAAGGGTTTACTCCAACTTGTACTTACTCCCTGCTTGTAAAGATCACGAGGCAAACTTGGAGTACATAGAACTGAAATGGACATTCTTGGGCCACAATAATCGTGGACAGATAAACAAACATTTTAAAGGAAAATTAAATAAGGCTACAAGATTTAAAATACTCGCATTGACTGAATTAAAAATATATATATATTCCTTTTCTATTATATTTTATGCTCAATCAATCTAAAGATGTATAAATTTATCACTGAAAATAAAAAATATATATATATTCGTAAATACATTTTATGAAATGAAAAGCTATATCTCTTCTTATTTCTGGTATATTTTAACATTTTTATGTATTATTATGGACGAATAATATTATCCTACCGGCTAACAATCTTAACCGGATTGTAATAAGGAATTTTAACTAACTTTCAACTTCAAAATGACAAAAAAAAAAGGATTACTATCCTAAAGAGAAAACTTTTTTAATAACAAGCTACAGTCAAATATATAAAACTAAATCGAATACTATACTCACAAAAATATTCTTTGGCCGCGTTTTGGCCGAATACAGTAATGGACTATCAGAGAGGATAGGAAAATTCTTAAAAAAGAAAACAGGAAATCATACATTTATAGGCAGCAAAAATTACCACCGCCATGACCATAACAACAAATGTATCCACTTAAACTATCGGAAAAGTACCAGTGAAATATTTTTGCGGCTAACCCGGAGAAGCTAGTTAAAAAAACAAGAAAGAAAGCTAACTTTGGCCAGCCAAAGTTTGTAACAATTAAAATATATCATAACTACGCCAAAAATGCATTAATTTCGATTCGGAAAGCAGTTTTGTGTTAGTTTTTATTAATTTAAAAAAACTGCATACCAAATTTAAAATATTAAGAAATCAAAAATTTTGGCCATTTTTGCTAATTTTAATGATGTAACCCCTTATCAAATTTCGCAAAATGGACAAAAAAATCGATTTCTTCCGGACATGTCTAGAAAGATTCGCATGTTAATGCTGATCAAGAATATATATGGTTTATGGGGTCGGAAATGATTCCTTGACTTAGAAAAATATTATTTTGTATTATAAAATCTGATTTTTTATATTAAAAAACTTATTGATTTTTTTTTAAATTAAAAATATCATAACTCGGCCAAAAGAGCATTAATTTTTAATCGGAAAACTGTTCTGTGCAAGATTTTCTACAGTTAATAAATCTGCATACTTCATTTAAAAATTTTGAAAATTCAATTTTTTATCAAAATCAAAAATTTTAATGATGTAACCCCTTATGAAATTTTGCAAAAATGGCAAAAAAATCGATTTCTTCTTGACATATCTAGAAAGATTCCCCTGTTGATGCTGATCAAGAATATATATACTTTATAGGGTCGGAAACGTCTCCTTCACTGCTTTGCAAACTTCTGACTGAAATTATAATACCCTGCAAGGGTATAATAATACAGTAAAACAGTAACAGTAAACGACGTCATAGGCTCTTTTCCAGTTTGGGGTGTCTGTCTGCGCCAGGAGCTGGAAATATGGCTTGGTTTTTGAGACAGGTGCAATTTAACATTAATTTTTTGTTATTTTTCTAATGTTTAATATCTGAGAAACATAAAATTAAAAATAAAATGATCAATTTGATACTAAATCATTAAAAAATATCTTGCAACGAATACTTTTGTACCTGTTTTAATATACTCTTTTTGAGCAGTGTAATAAATATAATAATATTTAAAAATATAAAAAAAATTATTTTGAGATATCCCTAACTTTTTTTGAAATTTTGGACCGGGTTGGTTTATCCCGCATTTAATATATTTTTATATTTTCCAAGTATTTACAAATATTCAAATGATGCCTTTTTCGAGCAAAAAAGATATTATTAAATGATTCTTCATGATCTCAACTTCGTCTTAAATTCATATTTTATAATAACTGGTTTCTTAGGAAGCAAGGTTGTGACCTTTCGGAATAAATGTTCCCAAGAAAACCCTTAGAATAAATCAATATTGGGATCAATTTTATAGGTCTTCTTTCTCCGAATTACAGAGAAAGTGTTCGCAGAAATTTTGCTTAGCTCTTTATCACAGCGCAGCGCATATTCCCTTATCAGTAAAAGAAGAGTATAAAAGGCGGGGGTTACTTGGCAAACAGCATAGTGTCTCAGACTCTTCTTTCAAGCAAAGATGTCACCTAAAGTAGCTTTTGCCCTCTTCGTCTTCGGCTGCGCCCTCCTGGCACTGGCTAATGCCGAAAGGCTAACACGCCTACAAAGGCGACCTGTGGTAAGTATCCAATTGAAATCATTTGAAATTTTATACACAAAGACAGCAAGGAGCCCAAGCAGTCGATTCACATAAATAATTTATTAATGAAATTGCATTCAAATTCTGAAATAGCGCCCTAGAACGGCACCTGTGCCGTCTGTCCCATGTTGTCCCTGTCCTGATGAAGATGTTGATTATGATGCAGGAGCACAAAGGCGACATATGGTATGCATCCAGTTAAATAAATTTAAATTTTATTTATAAATTCAATTAACTTTCTAATAACATATATAATGTATTTATCAAATTGCTTTCAGCGCCCGTATATCAGGACTGCGGTAGTACCTGAGGATTGTAAATGTCCATGTGATAGTTTAGGACCTGGTGTGGAGGCAACCCCGAATCCAATAGCCATTTACGAGAAAGATACGCCCCGGAGGGGATAAGAAAATTGTTTCTTAACAAACAGCTGCTTAGCTTTTAATTCAACGGTTGTATATTGATTGATTAGCCAGAGCAGAATAAAAACCATCGAAACAATATTTTTGATCCCACTGATATTTATTTCACGCGGGAATACGGGAAGAGTGTCTTACACTAGGGACATCCTTCTGTGCACTTACCAAAAACTCAAATGTGTAGTACTTGGGACCCATCTTTTGGACTCGTGGGTTGGTCTGCACCAGACTGAAACGGCTCTGGTGAGGCATTCTAATCCTGGAATCCCATTTGGAACAGGCACAGGCACCTTCCCCGAAGATCGCCCCCTTCTGCTGCTTGGATAGGGCCTCACCTTCTATATCGACAGCCTGGACAAGTTTGGCGGAATAAATCGAAACTATAACTAAGATCGTTGACATCTAGGTAAGTACATAGCATAAATTTCTACTTGGAACGTCAGCTTTTCTAGCGGTCGGTATATGTAGTTCTCTCTTCAATAGTTTTTTTTTTTATTTTTTCAAAAATTGTTTGGTCTTAATATTAAAATTATACATGTGTCAAAATATAAAACCTATTTTTTTAATAAAAGGGACTTAATACGTTTTCTTGGAATCATTTTAATATTTCTTATCTCTCACTTGTAAAATATGATGATTATCTTTCGGCGAATTGGCATAAATTATATTTTTTGATTACTGGAATTTAAAAAGATTATCTTCTCTAAGTCGCTCTGGTATTGGTTTCTCTGAATAATAAATAAATACTTAGATAAATACATACATAAATAACAAAGCCTATATTTTTTATAT